ATATTATTTGCTATAAATGAATGACAAGCGAAATATATTTTTATTTGTTATCATATTGCTGGAAGACAGATTATTGGTTAATAACTACCTTTTTTTTGTTCCCATTTTTTAAAAATGTAACAGATCATTTCTTGGAATCTCACAATTTTATTTCTTTTTACTTTATTTCAGGCATGTTTTACGACATTACTGGAAGTTACGATGCATCATTCTATATTGCTGGTAGTGTCATTGCCTTGTCAGGAATCATGTGTGTTCCTCTCCCATTTATCAGTCGATGGGAAAATAGTCGGGAAGAGAAGCGACAAGGTTTGATGTCCAGCAATTCTTTTTCAAATCCACACTCAGTTGGTAAACAAACAGCTAACGACTCTGCCACATGCGTATAAACAAAACAACAATAACAAGCAACATGAGAACCCACTGTGTTAGTGAACACCATAACGTTCTTCTCGTTTGAAATACTTCAGCAAAGCTCAGACGATTTTTACTATAAAGTTTAAAAGGAGCAATCAAAATGTGTCGAAACTTTGTTCGTGCTTACCTCGACCCGTTATTAAGAATGCATAGACGAAACATGGGACTGTGATAACTCGTATCATGTTAGGCACCTCCATCTAGTTAAAATTCTCTTCACGTTTTAGAAGTGGCATGATTTCACTGATTTTCAATGTGAATTATTCGATGTGTATGCCAACAGGATGAATACAGTAACCGGTGAAAGTTTAAGTGACTTTTGTTTTCCCTTGCAAAATCTAGAAAAAGAATCAGCAGATGAGTAAACAAGAATAAACAGAACAAAATAAACAAATTATTAACAAAAGATAAACAAAATATTCTGTTTATCGTGGAAGTTATTTATCTAAGTATTCAATGAAGAAGAAAAATAAAACTTTTAAATAAACTACTGGTTGGAAGTACTTTGGAGGTAGAAACTGTGATGATTGTGTTGTAATTCCACCTGGCAATCATCCTTCTTTCGCGTCAAAATTTGCGCAATTATAGATTCCCTGTCAACTATATAACAAATGTTTACGCTTGATACAATTAAATACAATAATTTCTTTCGGTGTTATGTGACTGACTCTACGCTAGCGTCATCTGTTGTTGGATATAGCAACTGTTCTGTAGGAGCAGCTTTTGTGTCACATTCTTTTGTTGCTATTGGAGACAATACATTTTCTTTGAAATGTATCGACATCACAAATAGCAAATAACCTAAATAACCAGGAGAGTTGAACACAAATTTCTACAGTTTCTTTGTTATAAATTATGTTTTTTTAAAAGTTTTCTATACGCCCAGTTGAACGCTTATCTGACTTTACTCCTCTAACTTTTGTTCCAGTACACATTCACTGATTTAGATTTTTTTAATACTCGTTTGTAACATTTATATTAACTTTCTGTTTTTGTGAAACTTCGTAATTTCGATGAAGAGTTTAGTACGAGTCAGATTCTAGTGCAGAATAAAAGTGTCTTACCTCTAGTTTCAGTAGAATTTAATACTTCTAAAAAACTCATTATCTATCGACAGAAATGTTCTATGTTTTAATCTAATGTTGAAAGTTATCCAACGTTGTTTCCTATTTTTAGAAAGTCTACAGAGGTTTGGGGATTTTATCATTTTATTTCATTTCTTTTCTATCTTTTACGCGCTTTTATTTTAAAATGATGTATTTTGCCATATATTGCGACAGTTCTAAATTCACAATTTGTAAAACTGATAAAACTGACGAAATTTTATAATAACATCTTGAAACCTTTGAAATGTACTTGGTTGCAGAACATGAATTAAACAAAAATTTTTTTCAAGTGTTATGTTTTTGTTCTTAACCACTAAAGTAAACACAGTTTTTGGGTAATTTTCTAATATAATCTTATGAATGAATTTTTTGGAAGCTGCTGAAATATCGAAACAAGAACATTGTTTTTATGGAAGTAGCTGGATATGGTTATTTCTTATTAATATTGTTTAGAAAGAACTTCCGAATTTATTTATCAAAAACTAACAAAATCATTTTTTTAAATTGCAACAAACAATCTGTAAAATATGTGCATCCGATGTTTTGTTTAAAAAAAGTACTAGCCGAGTTTTACTAGTTTTAAACAATATGAGTTTTTTTTTTTTCATTCGCAGCATAATATTTAAGTTGTAATTATTATGGTATTTTAGGTCAAGATGCTTTTTCTTTCTTAATTGCTGTCTTGAAAAAATCTCTAGATTGCATTTTCTGCAGCTATGGTCTGTTGCGTAGGCAAGTTCCCACGAACTGATTACGTAATACATTTAAAAAAATGTAAACTCTTTTAGAATTGAAAGTTTTACGTACCAGATGGCATTTGTTTGACAAGATTTCTGCGAAACGATAATGTGCACACCACACACGCATATATTTACGTATAAACTCACTTAGTTCTTAAAAAACAATAATTATCTGACATTTCTGTACTGATCATACAGGACGGGTTGTGGATAGAAAAGTCCAAGGCTCGATCTATGATGCCTTTGTAAATGTTCAGCACGTTTAGCTGTGAAGGCATTATTATAATGAGAGTCAATCCCTTATTCGGTTGAAAAAGCAAGACAAAGCCCTTCTGGCGGAGGGTGCTTACTAACTTTCCTTTCTCTGGTCAATGGTTTTTCTGATCTGACCGTTTAGATTACGTGTCCATAAGATTGACGATACTAATACCAAGTGGTTAGGGCCCTCGACTCGCAACTGAGGGTCGAGGGTTCGAATCCCCGTTACACCAAACATGCTCGTCCTTTCAGTCATGGGAGCGTTATAATGTGACGGTCAATCCCACTATTCGTTAGTAAAAGAGTAGCCCAAGAGTTGACGGTGAATGGTATTGACTTGTTGCCTTCTCTCTAATCTATCACTGATAAATTACGGACGTGAAATTCAAAACAAACCAAACTAATACTATGTTCCAATTCCATTTCTATAACTATTTGCTGAAAATAAAAAAAAATCAAATACCATCATTCAGAATTTGTTCCGTGAAAAGAATTTAAATGTTAAATACGATTTTTCAGCACATTTGCAAACATCGTGTGTTGCTTGCTAGGCTACAGGTGTGATCCAGATAGAGAACGTTTTGTATGATGGGTTAGCATGTGATAACGTATGAAAAGTGTTTGACAAAGATAATTATTTAGATATATTTGTTATCCAATTATTATAACCAAATATATTTAGTTGCATTTGAAACTGTAAATACGAAAACAAAGTACAAATATAGATTATAACTCTGAAACCTTCATTGAATAAAATGTATCTTTGATAGTCAAGAAACTTTTTTTTTTTGATAAAACTAACAATTACTTAAATCTTCTTAAAAACGTTTAACATAATATGGTCATTCATACTAAATTCTGGAGTCACAGTTTTTAAAGTAAAGCTAATTTAGTTAATACTATTCTCATATTGTTACGTATTTAGGATAGAAAGTGTTAATAAAAAGTAAATGTTTTTAATGTTTTGGCCGTATATCTATTCATCATTTTATCTGTCTTCGTAAAAACAAATGTAGTTTGTAGCCTTAATACTACTATAGAGCAGGTATTAATTGAGAAGTATTTTAGAAGATGGTTCTCTGTTTTAATGTGAAGTGTACAGAGAACGAACTAGTCAATAAAGATATTATAAAATAAAATAGTAAAAACCTGTATTGAAGGCTCAATTTATGGTTGTTGCGCTGATTCGTAACTACATACAGGTTTCGGCTTTGGTAGTCTTTTCAAAGTAAAATCTGGGGTTAACAAATTGCAATACAAACAAAATAAACTGGAATTTTCAGAGGAACGTATGCCATTTAATATAAGCAAAGTTGAAGAAAATGGACATAACGATTCTCTTAGATTTAGAATCTAACGATTTCCTGTACTAAGGTTGACGCACTCCAGTGGGACAATGGTAAGTGTGCGTATTTACAACACTATAATCCGGGGTGCGATTCTCTGCGATGGACATTGTATATACTCTGATGTAGCTTTGTTCTAAAACAAACAAACTAAGATTAACGCTCGTTTTCTGTGCAATCTTTGTTAAGAGGGGTGCTAGTGTTATTTGTTGTTGTTAGCGCAACGTTTTGTTCACCGCGGAGAATTAAACATCGAATTTTACCACTGTCCTATCGGAGGACGCTACAGAGTGAAAACGGGGGATTTCTTTTTTTTTACTTGTGGCCTAATTGATATTATTTCTAATTCCTTGTAATGTTCTTATTAATTTCTAGTTATTTTAGGAGCACAGTGATTAACTTGGATCGATTTTCTTAGGCTTGTTTGTTTGTAATTAAGCACAAAGCTACAGAATAAGCTACCTGTGCTCTGTCCACCACGGGTATCAAAACCCGATTTCTAAAGTTGTAAGTCCGCAGACATACCGCCGATTTTCTTAGAACTAGGTTGTGCTTATTTTATTTTAAAAAAACTATTACTGATATTGATTTCCGATCAAAACAAGTCACCTACTTAGAGTAAAACTAAAAATGAACTTGGCAATGAGTATAGCTAATTTAATATACTTTTTTACTCATAAATGTCAGTAGCTTCATCAATTGGACACCCTAGCTGTTAATGATCGGCTATAATTATTATGACTAAACTAGACTTACGTTTGTTCTTCCTGTTGCTATAGTGTCGAGCTGGTAAATTGGAGCTAAAATGTTATGTTTTACACGCCTCTGATTTTGAATAGGTAATAGGCAATGTTACGTATTAGAATTTCAAATAGCCTGAAATTGAGTTAACTGATAAATTTAAATTTAGT